AAGCGAGGGAAAATGGTCACTCTGTACGACTACCTGGGAGTGGGCCGGAGTTTTCCAACTGTGCGTTGCCTTATAAAGAGCGAATTTTTGAATGGGTGGTACAACGTTGTTGCTGCTCCTATTAAGTTCACCGATGTTCTTGTGGGTATGGTGCCGGGTGTCTCAGTGCCATCCGTGAATAACCCTAACCTTAGCATATCGGTAAATTCTCCCCGCACAGATATCGGTAACGCGGATGTTGTTAATGCAGTTGTTACGAGGGCTGCTAAAATAAAGGAAGATGCCGAACCAGCAAAACTGACGGTTCCTCATTTTCAGTTTAATAGTGTATCTAAGGATGATTTTCTGAGTGCTCAGCCTGAATGTTCTTCTCTCGAAAACATCAGAGATAAAGTAAAAAGCAAGTCTCTAGTAAATGTAAAGAGTCGTTCTGTTAGATACGAAATTGTGAAAGGCTTAATTTACCGAGTGTGCGTTAAAAGCAAGCACAATCATGAAATAGGTGTTAAGCAGTTGGTAGTACCTCGTAAGTTTGTAGATTTAATTCTTTCAACCGCTCATGACTCTCCTGTGGCAGGTCATTTTTCTCACAGGAAAACCGCTGACAAGATTTTTCATAAATTTTTCTGGCCAGGTGCGGGAGCGGAAATAAAACGGTACTGTCGTTCATGTCACGTGTGTCAGAAGACGGCTCCTAAAGGTAAAATAGGGAGAGCACCCATGGTTCAGATGCCGATAATAAGCGAGCCTTTTGCCAGGGTTGCAATTGATCTTGTGGGGCCGATAACACCTGCTTCTAGCAGAGGCCATAAGTATATTCTAACGCTAATTGACATGGCAACTAGATTCCCGGAAGCAGTACCCTTACGGAATATAGATACTGTCACTGTAGCAGAGGCTTTGCTAAGTATTTTTTCGCGTGTGGGAATACCGAAAGAAATACTTTCCGATCGCGGAACCCAGTTCAAATCGGATTTAATGGCAGAGAAAAACAGAATGCTCTCAATAAAGGCATTATTTACAAGTCCATATCATGCTTGCTGCAATGGAACTGTGGAGCGATTTCACGCAGTGTTAAAGTCCATGCTTAAAAAACTCTGCGGAGAACGACCCCACGACTGGGATCGCTACATCCCGTCTGTTCTATTCGCGTACCGCGAGGTTCCTAACGATACTCTGAAATTCAGTCCATTCGAATTGCTGTACGGTCGCAAAGTGCGCGGTCCACTGTCCATTCTTCACGATCTATGGACCAGAGATGACCTTAATGATGAGATCAAAAGCACTTATCAATACGTTCTTGATTTGCGATCCCGATTAGAGGAATCCGCCCAGTTGGCTTCATCCCATGCAGATGTTTCTGGTAAAATGTACAAAGCCTATTTTGACAGAAGTGCTAAAGTACGCAAATTAAACGAAGGCGACGAAGTACTTGTTTTGCTGCCAACATCTCACAACAAGTTAACAATGCAGTGGAAGGGACCTTATTCGGTAGTGAGGAAGCACGATAACGGCGTAGACTACGAGGTAAAGATTAATACGAAAAAAGAGATTATATCACATAAACATGCTTAAGAAATATGTGAGGCGTGACGATGTTTCTTCTTCGCAGTATGCCAGGTGTGCGTCGTAGACGATCTTCCAACCTCCGAGGAAAAGGCGAGGTTTTGCTTGCGATATCCCTGACTTGTACGAGGCTAATAAATGTACAGTAAACATTAATCCTGAACTGTCGAGTAAGCAGACAGCAGAGTTAAAACAGCTAGTAGCTGAATTCTCTGACGTATTCTCAGATAAACCAGGTGTAACTAGCACGGTCATACATGACATTGAATTGTCAACAGTTGTCCCCTGTTCATACCAAGCCGTACCCTATTCCCCATCATCTCAGAAAAGCTTTTGATGAGGAAGTGGATAGAATGTTAGCTTTAGGCGTTGTTGAACATTCTACATCTCCCTATTGCTCACCGTTGTGCTAGTTAAAAAGGCCGATAATTCATGGCGCTTTTGCGTAGATTTTAGGGCTCTGAACGACGTGAGTGTTTTCGACGCAGAACCAATGCCAACGATGGATGAAGCATTAGGTAATTTTGTGGGAGACGTTTACTTCACTGAATTAGATCTTTGTAAAGGCTATTGGCAAATTCCTTTATCTCAGAAGGCAAAATCGTACACAGCTTTTGCTACTCCTAAATACGGACTTCTGCAGTTCAATAAACTTCCGTTTGGTTTACGCACGGCGTGTGCCAGTTTCATTAGATTAATGCGTAAAGTTACTGCAGGTTTGACGAATGTAGAGTGCTACTTTGATAATTTGGTGGTGCATAGCTCGTCATTTCGTAAGCACTTGGTTCACATAAGGAATCTTCTGGAAAGATTGCGTGAGCACGGGTTAACTGCTGGGCCTAGTAAATGTTTTCTAGCTTTTCCCAATATTAAATATCTTGGATTTAATCTTGGTGAGAAGGGCTTGAGTACCCTTCCAGATAAGGTTGAGGCAATCAAAAATATGCCGATACCAGAAACCAAGAAACAACTACGAAGTTTTCTTGGAACACTTTCATTCTATCGGAAGTTCATTCCTAATTTAGCTGACCTCGTACACCCTTTGAACTCTCTTCTGAAAAAATTTTCTCCTAATAAGCTGAATTTAACTCCTGATCATTATAAGAGAATCGACGAATTAAAGGATATGTTAGCCAATGCACCAATCTTAACTCTGCCTGACTATGAAAAGACTTTTTATCTCCGAACAGACGCCAGCGACACAGGTCTTGGGCGGTGTTGCTACAGAATGTTGATAATGTTCTCATGCCAATCGCTTATGCGAGTAGAAAGCTCTCTGACTCGGAAGGGCGTTATGCCGTAATAGAAAGAGAAGCTTTAGCTATCGTCTGGGCTATTAAAAAGTTCTGGTGTTATCTTTATGGCCGCGAGTTTGTCTTGCAAACCGATCAACAACCGTTAACCATACATCAGAAACATGAAGAACAGCAATGGTCGTCTTATGCGTTGGTCACTGGCTCTCCAGTCTTATGCATTTACGATAGAGTATATCAGAGGTCAAGATAATGTTGGCGCAGATAATTCTTAGTCGACGCTCAGTGTAAGTTAATTGTATATATCACAAGGTAATTTAAGTGAAACCCCACTTTCACTAAAATCGTATGATTTTTAAGTCAAAATGGGGGCCTTTGTACAGGGTTTGGTGTTGGTTTCTCTTAATTTTGTTGTTTTGGTGTGCGAAGTGTGAGTGCGTGCTTGCTTGTGTGCGTGAACGAACCATTTGGTTTACCCGGACGACCCATTTACGTTGCTTCGAGCTTGAAGAAAGCCATAGTCGGTGGTCGCCGTTATATGGTCAGCCACTTGGCTCCGAACTCCACACCGATAACATTCTTCCTTAACTTGTATCAAAGGTGGACGAATACCAGGCTGCATCAACTGTCCACAAGCAGTGCCTGTATTTTCCGGCTGCATCAGCTACATAACTCTGGATACGTACCCTGGGCTGTTTACCCTGGACCATAATATCCGGTCCACAATACCCCGGTCTATAGTACCCTGGCTACGCGTGACCCCGGGCCGCTTGACCCCGGGCTGGAATAGTACTTTCGTGATCGTTTCTATTTGTGTTATTACTTGTGGTGTACTTATATATATGAAAATATATATATACTGAAAAATATTGAATTTCTATTCTTTTTCCTTGTTTGCAATCTATTCCCCAGAGGATATAAACAAAAAGAACTAGAGGTTAGCTCAAGATACTATATATATGAAATACTGATATAAAAATGAGCGGAAACCTCGAACAAGTGGCGCAGTGAGTAGGATCCTCTGATAGATTGCACAAGGACTAATTGTATATTTGTATTTATGCTTTACTTTTGTGTTATCTCAGGTTGTAATGTGGTGTCCGGACAGGTGGCTGGCCATATAAAGGTGAGTCGGTAAACCAAATGGAGGAATGTGGTGTGAATGGTCTAAGTTGTGGTGAAGGAGAGTGACGACTTACTCAGTAAGTTGTATATTTGATATACGTAATATTGCGTCATACGCGTGCGGATTAAGAGTAAATTTTAATTCAACCGTGCCTCCTTTTCGCCGTTGTGCTGTGGTGTATTTCGCCACTTGTTACGTATTCAGTGACTTGTAATATTCATTGGTTATACGTTCGGGAGAACAGTCTTAGTGTTAACGACTGTGGTGTGCCCGCGGGCGTTGTGAAATACAGTAACTTTGTTCGCTGTATCTTAACTGCGATGGATTGTAAACCTTTGTATAATTCAACCGTTGCTGTTAACGATGTTTTTGTCGCTGATTCGTAATTGCTTGTGAACTGTGCTTGTTCATTTAAACTATACTGCTTGCGTTAAGTCGGTCTGTATAATCGGTAATTACGTAAGGCGATGTTTTGTTGTAAGCATTTGTGCTAAGCTTCTATATTAAGTATTTTTCAGTATAGAAATATCTATCGTTTTAAATTTAGCTTATTGTTAAAGAAAATTAACGTAGTAATCATGTCAATCGATCTAATCGAACTTGTTAAATGCGCTAAAGATGCTGGTCTATCCGCCGCAGATATTAATACTTTAGTTGCAAAAGAAGAGGATAGATATAAGCAAAGGATAGACAGAGAAGAGAAACAAAGAGAAAGAGATGAAAGACAAAAGGAGAGAGATTTAAAAAGAGAAGAGTTAGAGGTACATGAGAGAGAGAAACAGCGAGAACACGAGGCGCGCGAGGCAGATAAACAGCGAGCCCACGAGTTAGCTCTTGCTCAGTTGCAATCGGAGACGAGTACTCATAATGAAAGCGCTGCCGAAGGTTCATATCCGGGATTGAAAATGCCTAAGTTTGATGACAGTAAGGATGACATAGACGATTATTTACGCAGATTCGAAAAACTAGCTTGTTTACAGGGATGGAATTCGCAGAATTTTCATGTATACTTAGGTTCTCTGTTGGGGGGTAAAGCCTTGAAGATATATGTAAGTCTGCCGGATGACGTTCTAGTAAATTACAAGTTGTTAAAAGACGCGTTATTGAAAGGATATAATGTTGATGTTGATTCCTACCGTAAGAAGTTTAAGGAGAGTAAGGTGGGTGAAAACGAGACGTACGTACAGTTAATGTCTCGGCTGATTAGGTATTTAGATAACTGGCTAATTATGAGTGACGTCACGAAGAACTACGAGGAGCTGTTTGACTTCTTAGTTCGCGACCAAATGTTAAGCAATTGTCTGTTTGAACTTCGCGTTTTTCTTAAGGAGCGAGTTTTTGAAACTACTCTTGACATGGCGCAAGCAGCCGATAGGTTCCGTAGTGCACACAAATCTCCCAAATTCCGTAAAATGCCTATCAAGGAAGATCCTGATACAAAGAACGGTACAAAATCTGGCGTTAGGGATAAGATCGTGTGTCACCACTGTTCCAAGCCAGGTCATATACGTCCTTCTTGCCCTGACTTAATGCTTGGTAAAAGCAAATCCTCTCAAAGGGTCAACTTTGTGTTTGACTCTGACCTCTCTCCCAACAATAGCATCACGTGTGAGGGAATGTTATATAATAGACCCGTACATGTACTCTTTGATTCTGGCTGTTCGTCTATCATCGTTAAGGAATCGCTCATCCCCGCCACGGCCAAGCGAGGGAAAATGGTCACTCTGTACGACTACCTGGGAGTGGGCCGGAGTTTTCCAACTGTGCGTTGCCTTATAAAGAGCGAATTTTTGAATGGGTGGTACAACGTTGTTGCTGCTCCTATTAAGTTCACCGATGTTCTTGTGGGTATGGTGCCGGGTGTCTCAGTGCCATCCGTGAATAACCCTAACCTTAGCATATCGGTAAATTCTCCCCGCACAGATATCGGTAACGCGGATGTTGTTAATGCAGTTGTTACGAGGGCTGCTAAAATAAAGGAAGATGCCGAACCAGCAAAACTGACGGTTCCTCATTTTCAGTTTAATAGTGTATCTAAGGATGATTTTCTGAGTGCTCAGACTGAATGTTCTTCTCTCGAAAACATCAGAGATAAAGTAAAAAGCAAGTCTCTAGTAAATGTAAAGAGTCGTTCTGTTAGATACGAAATTGTGAAAGGCTTAATTTACCGAGTGTGCGTTAAAAGCAAGCACAATCATGAAATAGGTGTTAAGCAGTTGGTAGTACCTCGTAAGTTTGTAGATTTAATTCTTTCAACCGCTCATGACTCTCCTGTGGCAGGTCATTTTTCTCACAGGAAAACCGCTGACAAGATTTTTCATAAATTTTTCTGGCCAGGTGCGGGAGCGGAAATAAAACGGTACTGTCGTTCATGTCACGTGTGTCAGAAGACGGCTCCTAAAGGTAAAATAGGGAGAGCACCCATGGTTCAGATGCCGATAATAAGCGAGCCTTTTGCCAGGGTTGCAATTGATCTTGTGGGGCCGATAACACCTGCTTCTAGCAGAGGCCATAAGTATATTCTAACGCTAATTGACATGGCAACTAGATTCCCGGAAGCAGTACCCTTACGGAATATAGATACTGTCACTGTAGCAGAGGCTTTGCTAAGTATTTTTTCGCGTGTGGGAATACCGAAAGAAATACTTTCCGATCGCGGAACCCAGTTCAAATCGGATTTAATGGCAGAGAAAAACAGAATGCTCTCAATAAAGGCATTATTTACAAGTCCATATCATGCTTGCTGCAATGGAACTGTGGAGCGATTTCACGCAGTGTTAAAGTCCATGCTTAAAAAACTCTGCGGAGAACGACCCCACGACTGGGATCGCTACATCCCGTCTGTTCTATTCGCGTACCGCGAGGTTCCTAACGATACTCTGAAATTCAGTCCATTCGAATTGCTGTACGGTCGCAAAGTGCGCGGTCCACTGTCCATTCTTCACGATCTATGGACCAGAGATGACCTTAATGATGAGATCAAAAGCACTTATCAATACGTTCTTGATTTGCGATCCCGATTAGAGGAATCCGCCCAGTTGGCTTCATCCCATGCAGATGTTTCTGGTAAAATGTACAAAGCCTATTTTGACAGAAGTGCTAAAGTACGCAAATTAAACGAAGGCGACGAAGTACTTGTTTTGCTGCCAACATCTCACAACAAGTTAACAATGCAGTGGAAGGGACCTTATTCGGTAGTGAGGAAGCACGATAACGGCGTAGACTACGAGGTAAAGATTAATACGAAAAAGAGATTATATCACATAAACATGCTTAAGAAATATGTGAGGCGTGACGATGTTTCTTCTTCGCAAGTATGCCAGGTGTGCGTCGTAGACGATCTTCCAACCTCCGAGGAAAAGGCGAGTTTTGCTTGCGATATCCCTGACTTGTACGAGGCTAATAAATGTACAGTAAACATTAATCCTGAACTGTCGAGTAAGCAGACAGCAGAGTTAAAACAGCTAGTAGCTGAATTCTCTGACGTATTCTCAGATAAACCAGGTGTAACTAGCACGGTCATACATGACATTGAATTGTCAACAGTTGTCCCTG